TGACGCTTAGATTTCGAAAATATACATATACACATATATATGTTATATCTTTAAAACACTGCATACTGTAAATTTGATTTATTTTCTGTGCCTGTTCCGTTCGCCTGTCGACGTTGTTTCTCTGTGGAAAAGACTTTCATCGCAACCGGCAACCGAAAAGATTTAACCGATAATAGTAGGATACACAAAACGAATGTGAATTTTTCAGTTCTTAATGCCAAAACGAAGTCAGAGGCTAAACATAAGCGTCGAGGACCATAAACAATCCTGGCAGGATGTGAGAAGGGGACGGGCAGCGGCAGGGGCAGGAGCTTTAAAGCTGATGCATAATATATTGCGTATACGCCCCATTATGCCCTCCAACGAACACACACACCGACACATGGGGCAGACGAACATGCACGGCAGACTTCTAAACCATATATCGTATGTATAATTGAAAGCAAATTTTACTGCATGTAATTGAGTGTGTTTGTTTGCGGGCCAGTGCCCATACTCGTATATGCAGCTCGAAGTGTTTATGTGTGGGCGGGTGTGTCTTGATATCGATAACAAATGCCACAAATTGAATTTAAATCATATTACATACAAACAAGCCGCACAGACACAAAACAGGCCTGCTTTCGACTGGGGCTTTGGTTGGGTATAGGGACAGGGATTGGGATAGGGATTGGGATTGGGCTCTGGGCCGCGCCATCGCCATGCTCGCTTGTTTTATTTATGGCTGCAACAGCAACGATAACAAGTGCAACTGCAACAGCTACAGATAGAGAAAAAAGCAGATGAAGTAAAATGCAGATAATAATGAGATTCTCTGCTGGGACAAGAAAACGAAAGAATCTTGGCAAGGCTGCTTGTAAATCAAAATATTTGTCTGTTGAAATTTGATTCTCATTGGCAAGACTATGACTTCGGAAATTCGTATTTAAATAAGAAGATCTGCATTTCAATTTCGAAATGTTATCCACCTAATAGTGCACAAAATCTGCTCACTGGAATTTCAAATCAAATCTGGAATTTGGATTGTGGTTTTCTCCGTGTACCACAGCCGAAGTCTGAGCAACGCCTTTGCTTTTGCATTGAGCCGCATTTGAATTCGGGTTTTGAGATTTTCATTTTATGCATTCAGTGCACACGCCCAGCCGAAACAAGGCAGCCAATCTCCTCGAATATCCTTCCAAGGACTCCTCCTCCGACTCCCCGTCCTCTTAATTGGCAGCTCTGCATTGGGATGCCATAAATTTATGCATTGCATTTTGGCAGCAGCAATACGTATGGCTCCGCCACCGCCATAGAAATTGGCTCAGAATCTGACAATGGCACCCTAAGCGAGTTTATCCGGAAGACACCGCCCAGACGGAGGCCGTAAATAAATGTTTGATAAGCAGTCAATATGATTTGATGGGGAAAAGCAATTAAAGTCGATCGCTTAAAACGAAATTTAAATGCTGTCAAAATAAGAAAGTCCCCCCACAGAATAGATATAGATAGATATTTACCCAGCAATTTGCTCAAACAAACAGACGTCGGATCTCAGGGGCATCTTTGCCAGAAATCGAACTGCGAAGCTCCCAAAAATCCATGTGATGTGCAAATAAACGGCCACTAAGTTATGGGCTCAAGTCAATTCCGACACTCGAGGTGTCCATGCGAGCTGGCACGACCCAATATCTGAGAGCTGAATGGAGTTGGACTTAGTCCTTCTGCTTAGGGAACGTGTTTTCGCCTGGCTTGGGAACGTGACGCACGTGCGTGCAAAAATTCAAAGGACCAAAACTCGGGGAGGTGCACTTCGTATTGACGTTAACATTTTGCTCGGCACTTGTAACGTGGTGCAATGCAAAATGCGAAACTGAAGAATGAAGCGCAGAACTGAAAGGAGTAAATACCAGGCGCAAACTACAACTGCAGAGGGAGAAAAGTTGGGATCGAACTGGGATGCAATTAGAAGAAATTATTCATGAAACGCCAGCAGCTAGTTCCTAGACCAAAAACAAATAATATGCTTAGAATACTGAGTACAATGAATTAAATACAATGGAATACACAACTATTCAAATATATATCCCTTGCACCACTTGCAGTCTTCAATTTTTAGAAACAAATCCCTACACCAGTGCCCTATTATTTTGACACCGAAAACACCCTTAATTATAAACACTATAATCACCTAATGCAATCAATATGTGCATTAAACGACCGACAAAACGGGCACAATACCTGTTATTATTTAGATCAACTAACTGACAATTGGGAGCCGGAATGGCCACGTATTTTCTCTCGGTTCGACCAGGACAAATAAGCAGATTGCCACGGCAATCGCAGGCTATGAAGCGTGTCCTGCCGGCTCCCACACCTAACGGTTCAGGCAACAACTCACTCCCAACCTGGCCGGAAACTACTCCCTGCACCACGTGCATATACACCCGTACATCATGTCCGGGGCATTGTTGCTGCTCCTGCACGCGCCGCACGATTTTGCAAATAAATACAAATAACTTTGATTTTGTGCCCCAGACCCGCAGACCCCCCAGACAGCCCAATCGCCGTCGAAATCCCTGTCCCAATCCCCGAGCGTGTGACGTTCAACAGAAGCATTCAAATTAAACTTTATTTGCCCTCCCCGTACCTTGGGGCGTCCCTGGGCTTTCTGCTTAAAATTGCAGATTGCAGGCTTGATCACATTGCTTGCAAATGAACGTTGGCAAAGGAGCAGGTCCTGGAACAGGACCTCCAGCAGCAGCAGCAGTAGCAGCAGTAGCAGCAGTAGCTGGAACAGGAGCAGTCAGACAAACACATGAAACGTGCTGTGCATGCAATAAAGGAGATTTTTTGTGGGATTTCCTGCACTGATACCAGCCAACGGCACAATATGCTCCATAAATTGCCTTTGGCCTCTGACTCAATACTCGTTTATATGTATACCTTCACATGGACATTTCAGAGCCACCCCAGACAATAGTTTATACTTGTCTATGATTTAGTTTTAGCGCCCAAAAAGGGATGCAGCTGAAAAGGACACACTTCCTTTCCGTACCCAAAATTTACCGAACTAACAAAAATAATAATAAGCATGCGCATAGCAATTATGCGAAACGACTTCTAATTGCATTTGGCGGCGCTGAATCTAAGAACTTTTGCTTACCACTTTCGTTTTACAACTTTTCGCAGGACTCACATTAGGGAGACACAGGTTCGACCCGTTTATACTTATTAAAAAAATGGATTTCCTTGAAGCATTTATCCAGGTTTTTTAACTTTGAACAAAAGTAAGTTGGCAAACCTCACAATGAAAGTCCATATTAAGTACGAGTATTTTTGGTTTTTTGTACAAACGCCTATGTAGCAGAATAAATCCGTCAAGGAGAGTTTTACAATTACACATTAATGTGTGTTAGAAAATTAGCAGGAAATTTAATTTGAAGTATTTTACAATTATGGGAAGCACTCTTTCTTGGAATCCCGTAAGTAACCAACTCCAGATGGGATCCTTTGTTTAGTTTTCCAGGGTAACGGAAGCAATAAAGCGACTCCTCCGCTTGGTTAGGTTATTATTATTGTTTGTTGTTTCGTTTTGGTGTTCCCTTTTGTTTGTAATGTGAAAATAATCCTCGTGAAAGTTTTGTTTGTGCGGCAAAATCAAAGTATTAGCAACTCGTTGCCTCTCCTTCTGGCGGAGACTCAGGATTCAGACTCAGGCCTCGGCAACTTCCGTTGGATGCCGTCATGGCCACGTGAGCCCAGAAATAGAAAACATGGCCAACGTTGCAGGAGCAGGAAGGCTGTACAGTGGAGCTGTTTATTTAAGTACTCAATAAAGTAATATTTAGCGATTGTATTAAAAATGGCTTGTTAAGTGCTAGGATTCGAATGTAAATGTTGCGATATGATTCATTCCTTTACAAAAGTATTCTATACTTTTCATTCTAAATTATCCTAAATAATTTCCAGTGCTATTTTTGCGGCCAAGTCTGTAAGCCGTGGGTGGCCGGAACGTGAACGTGAACTTTTCACGTGCGCAATTTGTGTTTGTATTTAGCTTTCCTCTTTCTGCGCTCGCCAGAATGTGTGCTGTTTTATTCATATATAGTACATTATTCGCCCCGACCTTTGCACTGGGTGCTGGGTAGGAACTACCCTTGTCCCGGCCGAACTCAACTCAAATTATATTTTTATGAGTGGGGCCAAGTTACGGCACTTAATGATGTTGCTTAGCAAATTGAAGCAACTAAACACAAACATAATTGAAACAATTTTCTCATTATAATGACGATGACGATGATGGCGATGGCGATGGTGATGGTGATGGCGAATAGTGGGTAGAAACCCGGGCAGTTTTCCGGGTTCCTTTGAAGGAAAAGGGAAAGGCGGAAAAGGCAGCGGACCAGGTGCCGTTGACGCAAATTGTTTGGCTGCGATCCTGTCAAGGAGCTCCAGGTAAACAAAGAGCGCGCGCCCAATGTCAACTAAATATGCGTCGTTCGGTGTGAGGAAGATGAAGTGGGCGCCAGGAAGTCCTGGCAAAAGTTAAGCGCTCAAATAAAATAAAGGAAAATGGCAAAAAGGTAGATAGTGCGGACCGGGCTGGGCTGCTAGGGTGCAGGTACTCAGCCTATCGCAGGAAGTGCAGCCAGCGCCGGAAGTTGTAACAAGTTAATGGCAGTTTTTCAAGAAGCCAACGACTGTCAGGTGCACTGGGATTCGAGGATGCAGGGGCAAGTGGGGCAACTGGGCCCACTGGGACATCTGAGGCAGCAGCATTTAGCCGGAGGAACAGGAACTCCAGATGCAGGACTAAGTGCATTCAAGTTGGCACTCAAGTGCCGCCAAAGTGCCAGTCGACGTGGCCTAATAAAGTTGCTTAGGCGGGTCTTGGCGGAATTAAGTGGCTGCCTCCTGGCCTCCAGATGCCGTCGTCGTGGGAACTCAAGTCCCCTCCTCAAGTCGACTCCTTCTGCTCCTTTCCCGTTTATACACACACTTATTTTAATACTCGGTGCCTTTGTGCTCATCAGCCATTGTATTTGTTTGGCATTGTGTGCCCGGGCCATTAGCAGCTCAATTTACAAAACGTCGACGACTCCATAAAGCGCCGTCTATCTGCCGCAAAGCTATCGGCCCAAAACAATATTTGGCATTGCGGGCGTTCCTTCCCGGCATTGTTTTTGCAGCCCCATCCTCTCTTGGCTAAAAGCACTGGGCGACCCAAGTGGACGCCTAATGGACCGGCGGCCAACTGCAATTCGATACGGATGCCCACGCTGCGGATGCGAACTTTTCGGGGATGCGTGGAGTTGATGGAGTGTGATGCAGAAGGGTGCACAGAAGAAAACCAATAGAGCTGAGTAACCGAAAGGATCCGTTTTGCACACACTGTAATTAATAAACGCTTAGACAAACTGTGCGAGGGTAGAGGCTTAAATCACAGAAAACTAAACCAAGCAATGCACTTAAAAGCAGTAGAAGCGGCCAACTGTAGGCCACACGATCAGGGATCTGGCCACGCCGACCGATAACATCTGTCAGATTGGGTCCGGCAACGCTGTGTTTTTACAGTTGAGAACTTCGTGTTGTTTTCTTTCACAAACAGGCAGACAAATTAATAAGTACATTCGACCCCGTTTAATACAAGCAGCTCGCACAGATCCTAATGAAAAAATCCTACTCTCTAGTACACCAAACGACTAGACCAAGTGTCTGTTCCTCGGATTTATAAAATAAGCGTGAGGAAATGCGCTGCATGTGAGCAACGCAAACGCAACGAAAGGCAGTCATAGGTTACCTACATATGCGCATATATCTTAGTCATAATTCGCAGCTATATATGTACATACATAGGCCTCAGCGAATATGCCAAATCAGTTGCGCCTTCATATCCTTGATTGCAAAATTAAGTACATACGTAACAATAGTTTAATATGTAACTCTATTTTCATGTTCTTCCTTCTAGTGCCTACATATATCATTAGCACCTTAAATCATCCAAGCGGACTTCGAGGGAAAAACAAAATATTTCATAAATACCCAGAAGCCTGACAAAGATATTGCTAAAACTATAAAAGAGATCCGTCCCAAATATAGTATCAGAAATATTGGCAAGGAATTACAACTGGGTACATACATAATGAACCCGGATGAAAGAGGTTTATGTGGTATCCTCGGTTAATTAGCGAAAAAGCACAGACAACATTATCTTATAAGCTGAAATTAATCATTTCTTTCCAGTGCAAAGGGCCCACGACTTTGATACATTGGCAAACAAGAAGGGCATAAAAACAAAATCAAATTGCTTGCAAATAGCTAAATAAAAGGATGGCCCAGGACGAGGCTTCGGCTTATTACTCCCCAAGTTGCCAGCCTGCTTGAAGCCAAACATTTCAGCCAGGATATTGCCGACGAGCAAGGAACAAGTTTGCGCTTTGCAAATTAATAACAACAGCGATGAGTTTTCCTTGTGTGCCCGTGTGTGCTTGTTGTTGTTCTTCATCCTGCCAGATAGGACAAAGTGAGTATGTGTGTGTGAGCGGTAAGTAGGACTAATGCCTGCAGGTTGACGTACGTGCTGTGGCATTTTTATTAGGCATCTCCTTTTTTACGAGCCCCGCGCCGAAGCCCTTTTAATGTCGAAGGCGGCGCCAGACTCCACTGGATGTGAAAGCTAAGAGGGGGAACGTTTCATGGGCCATAAAAGCAACAGTCCCCCGAAAACACACAGTTCCCAGAAATTTTGCACCCTTCCAACTCGATACCATACCATCTCCATCCTCCGGAAGAGTGAGTGTTACTTTTTGTTTAATTTAATTAGTCACGGCAAAGCCCACACCCCGAATATCATTGTTATTAGTACGGGCATTTTATTGGTCGCATACCGTAGAGGAATAATAACAATTAGGCTTAAATAAGGTCTGCTACGATAAATTCCCCTTATCGAGATGGATGAGCCGTTGAAAGTATGCTCTTTAAAATTAGCAAAACACAATACAATAATAAAGTACTTCACTGTAAATAGCATACACTTGTATCCGAATACAAACTCCTCTGTTCCTAATTTATACTTGGGCTTGTATTATATTTTAGAAAGTCCAGCATACCCGAAGTGCTACCCCTTTCAGCACGTGTTTGTGTAAGGGCAGTGTATAAAAATGTCGCTCAATTAAAGTGTAGACACTTAAAATTCAACACTTAATTTTGTGCGTCACATTAATGCCGAGCACATAATTAAATTATGTTAATTACGCCCAACAAAGTCTATTAACAACACACTGCTAGAACGAGATAGACAGTTGAAATGCCTGATAGAAGGAGACGGACACTGAGGCTAAATCCCTTTTGGGCCAAAAAGGCCAAACATCAAATAACTTTCAATCAATTCCAATTAGGCCAGCTCCCTTTTGGCATAAAAATTGGATCCAGAACGGAACGACAATTTAATTTCAAGTTTAATGGCAAACAGCAAAAGAAATAACCACAAAACGCGGGGTGAGTTGGTGGCTTTCGAACAGTTTGATGTTGTTATCTCGAAAGCAACCCGTTTCAGCCGTTCGGGCCACCGCAGGAAGGGATATTGTAATAACAGCTGCCCGACACGAAGGACTATCTGATCCTAGGAAATGCGCAGGCAAGGAGGAGCCAGAGGAGCTGGAGGAGACCCCCAGGAAAATGGCAAGGAAAAGGCGAAGGAAACGCCGAGGAAACGGCCACGCAGCAATGCATTTTGCAGTTAGCAACAATGGGCCAGCGGTCAAAGCCACAATAAAAGCGTGGCGTGGCATCGCTGGATGGAACCGAAACTGAAATGAAAACCACAAAACACGCCAAACCCGGAGTCCTGGAAGCCCAGAAAGGCAAAGGAACGGAAGCGGGCGGGCAAATGTCCCACGGACATACAGCTGTCCGTCCGGACGAGTTTGAAGACGTGGCAGTATGCTAGAGTAAACCAAGTTCATTTTCAGTGCAAAAATTTAATCAAGAAGTGCAGTGCAAGGCGAGCCAAAGTGTCAGCGGTGGCATTTCCCACTTCCCACCGCCGTATCCTTCCCCTGCAATCTATTGTCCCCGTTGTTCCCCCTGAAAATGTCCTGGCGTCCAGCCCCTTGCGTGTAATACGAGATTCGTTCAACATTTACAATGATTTTGTGATTCTTCCGACACTTTATGGCCCAAGCCACGCTGACAGGCTCCCCACTAAACTTGAACACCCTCACTCTATATCCTTTCTATCCTTTTACGCTATATACATACACTTATGTACTATACATGCAAGTGTATGTGCATGTATACACATCCCATTGCTGCCGGTGTTTGACTATAATAGAGTGAAAGACTTTAAGCAAGCATCGCTATCGTCATCGCCATCGCCATCACATCGCCATCTCGGTATTAAGTTGCAAGCGAAAAAGTTCACTTGTAATGCAGACGAGCAACGAAAATGGAAATGGAAAATTGGAGCGCAGCTGACAATGCTCCCATTTTCCGCCTTGATTTTCGGGAGAGTGTCAGTCGATATCCTGTGAGCAGCTTGGTCAGGTTCCCACAGGCGGGCCAGGATGGAAAAGCTTGCGCCGCGAAGCGAAAATAAATAAATATTTGGTTAATTCGATTTTTAGCTATGATTGTCCAAACGCAATTCTTGTTGATATTCAATATTCAAGGGTTGCGACTGGGCATCGCGGCTCGAAATAAGAATACAACTCGGCAACCAAATCACCACTAAAGTGTACATTTTATTGAAACGAAATTGGTTCATACGATACTGTTCAGCCAGAGCAAAAATGTGCATTAAAAGTTCTATTCAAATTTAAAATTCTGGTTTGTTGTGTAAGAATGTAATGTAATTCAGGAGGAAATTCAAAGCTTGTCATTTACATATTTACCATATTAAGTTATGTGTCTTTAAACACATAACAGTTCTGACACATTTTACCAAGGAAATTAAAATTTGTACTGCTGCGATAAAATTCTGAAGTTTTTGCCGTCAGCAGCTTTCTGAGGTTTGCAGAATATTAAATTCCATAATTAAGCAAAACGTAAATTCTGGAAAAACCCAGCGGACTTCAGCTTGAGGTCATATTCATTTTAGTTAAAAATCACTTTTAAATTATTACTATCGGTATTACGGTCAAGGAGATTGTGCATTTCACTAGTTAATTATATGACTTCCTTTAAATGTACATCTCGATTACCATCAATGCCAATTTTCTAATAAATCGTTTAAATATGTACTAATAATTGCATAATTTTCAAAAGGATATAGACATCAAAACGATGCAAAATATTAAATTTCACAAATGCCAGTACAGCTAAAAATTATCAGGAGAATGGCACGTGTTAGTCTATTTCCAATGCAATAAATACACAATTCTATTACGGAATTTAAAACCAATCAACTAACTTGAAAAAACATATCTGAAACAAATAAATACCTAATAATTTTGATGTTTTAATTAAATTGCGGCGTGCTGTAAAGATAAAAACTTTAATAACATTTTTTACCGGTATTAAGTAACTTTTCTAACCAAGCCACTTGTGAAAAATAAACTTAAAAGTAATATATTTTGTGGGGGGAAACACGTCGAGAATTTACATCAGGAAAACTTGCGTTATGAATTGGGGAAGCTGAGCATGGAAAACGTATTTTGTAACAAATATTTGCCAAGCATCTTTTGACAAATTATGACTTGGCTCCTCGTGCCCCCCATCTCCGACATGTTTTTCTCGTCCTGCTGCTCCTGCTCCTGTTTTTGTCCTGGTTCCTGTTGGTCTTTGTTTTTCTGCCAGCAAACTATGGCTCAAAGTTGCCATGACAGCGTTGCCACATTATACAACAAGTGCTCGAAATAATAAAGTTAACAGCACTTTAATAGTTACCGCCTGCCACTCCCACGTCGCCCACACGGGGGCGTAACGAATCTGGGGGCGGGGGTGTGGGAAACGGCAACCGAACGAGGCAACTTCAGCAGCGGCAACATGTTGCCGGGCAACGGGCATAAATGAGGGGCTTATCCTATCGAGCAGCACAACTTGAGCAATAAAATTGCTTTTATATACGAGAGTCTGTGCCGTGGATGAGCGGGGAAAATAGCCTGAAATATTCCTGGCATGCTCAGATATACAACCATTATGGGCGGGACAGCAGATAAATTTTTCACTTTGATTTCTCTGCTTAATAAAAATCAAATTTAAATGCGGCTGACAACGCACCAAGAAGTCGTCAATTCTTCGCAGTACCATGTGTGGAGGGTACACGCTAAGAAATAACTTATAACTATGGAAAAAAATATATAGAAAATTATATGGAAATATGCAGATCTTGTAAGTACATTTTAAAGATGCCGGGAAGTCACGAATTAAATAAGCATGGCAATCAGTAACTTTGTATTCATTGACTGCAAATTATTTTTCATTTCAAGTATTTTAAAGTTATCTAGAAACCTAGGAAAAAATAACACAGCTTAATGCAGTTAATGAGCTCCAAAATATTTAAATGAAATCAGCATACAAAAATATTCATGGTCCAATTATAGTTTTTAGTTTTTAAGAACAACTGTGTGCACCATGTTCCATCATATTTTCGAAATCCTTCTTAAACATCAAAACCAATTGATTTCGAAGCCCGAAGAGCTGCACACACGTTTGAAAGTTTTGGTCCTTGTGTAGGAAATGGGCCGGGGGCCAGTAGTGGGGGCATTTATGGCCAGCTGATGACATGGCTTCCAGCGATCCTGATGCTCCTGCTTCTGGAATGTAATAAAGTTGAAGCTCCTTCGGTTCCCGAGTCCTTGGACTTTACGGCTGGCACATAAAAGGAAATCAAAGCCACCAAGGGGAAGCCATCCGCAGCTGGCCGAGTCAAAGAGTCAGTCGTCCCGCTAAATGGCTTTGGCCGGGAGTCAGAGCTCTATGGAAACTTGAAGCTGAGGCCATAGCTGGAGCCGAAGCTGAAGCGCAGCTAATAAGGTCTGCGGACCTGCGGGGCGTATGCTTAATATTTTGAGCCAGTTGGCGCTTATATAAATGCCGTTGGCCAGAGCACCAAAGCGGAAAGTTCTGCATAAATTCAATTAACTAAAAACATGCAAATGAAAACTTTTTTCGAGGGCGACAAAGCCGCGGGGCGAAAGCAGAGAAATGCTAAAATGCAACTCATTCAGATGCACAGAAGTGGCAATTGGAAGTGGCCACCAGGCGCCTCCTATTCCGCATTCCCTCCGCCCCCAGATGCTTTCTAATTATTTCGCTCTGGCTTTGGAGCATCCTTTTTGGTCCGCACTCAGTCAACTATGCGTGTATATCAGCAGTAGGAAATGTAATAATGTAAAGAGTAATTGTGCAAAAAAATACGAAAAGCAATAAAGAACGGGCAGTTACGCAAAGCGTAGTGGGCGGTCAAAGGCCATGGAATCTGGCGAGGATAACGGCAAGGACACCACTGCCAGCAGTTATGAGTGCGGTAAGCGGTGCGAGGCAACAAAAGTTGTCAACGACACGGCAGCAGCAGCAGCAACGGCAACGGCAACAGCAACTAAAACAAAGCCCCAACCCCTGGGCGCTGGAGCGGATCGAGCAGATGGAGCGGTTGGAGGTCATGGGGCGGCAGGAGGGGCGCCGGGGGATGCATGGGGGGGCGCATGGGGGGATGTGGACGTGCAACGTGGCCGCACAAAGTTCGAGCGCAGCTCACGCGCCCCAGCCACGTGATTCCGCTCCTGTTGCTACAGGACTCGCCTCGTGCCCCGGCCCAAAAAGGATATTAATTTCCCAAAGGTGCCGTTTTTGCTGGCGAAAATCACGCAAAATGCGACCCGGCTTTCAAGAGTGGGAGGTGGAAATGGAACTGGAAGTGGGTGTGGAAGTGGGAGTGTCGGGGGACAACTTAACGAAAGCCTGGATGAGTGGAGCCTTTGTCGAACAGAACATTACACACCCTAGGCTGCAATTAGAAATACAAAGTAGTCCATTCAATGCTACACAGATCGTACACAAAATTTTAAGTAGGTATAATTGTAATTCATTTAGCACGGGTTTCACTCCGGTTACGTGACATACAACAGTAATTGAAACGCAAGTCAAGTGGCATTTGCACATTTAAACTGCCTAGAAATGTTTTTTCGATTGATGTTGAGGCCTTCTTTTTGTAATATTCTTAGAACGGTCTAATAAAAGCAGCTCCTACAAATCAATTATTTTATTTAAGAGATCCGTATACGCTACAATAACTAAATACCATACCATCAACCAATGCATTAATTAAAATTGGTTAACAATATTCTATTTCACATACGCGCTTCTGGATAAAGAGCTTTAAGTTTCAAAAATGTCTAGGCATAACACGGTTTATTTCAAAGGTAATAAATTAAAGTTTTTGATTTCACACAGAAAAAACCAATCAACATAATCCATAAAACAATGGCAAAAAGCCTGCGAAAGTCATGGGACCCCATGAGATGATTATATCACCGACGCGAAATAAAATTAAAACGCACGCACACAAATTAAAAACTTTCAATAGCAACATTTTCATTTAAAAATTCAACACCACGCGCAGGGACAGGCGGTGAGAGGATGCGGATTGGGAAATGGTGTTGGCGAGGGGCTTGGGGAAAAGGTTTGGGGAAATGTGCTGGGAAATGGGAAAATGTGGGCGAGCTAGCTGGCAACCGCTTGTTGATGGCCATTGAAGTGGGGCGACAAACAGATTTATGAAAACTGAAAAATATCCATTGTAATTTGACTGTGCGAGTGCCAAAGGACCTGCTCCTCCAGCGATGGAAAGCTGCTGGGGAGCTGGCAACAATTAAAACTATTTTGGCCAAAACAATATCGGGTTGTTGCCATCGCCGCCAGCTTTCACAGTTGCCAGTTGTTCGCTGCTCGCTGCTCGCTGCTGGCAACATTTTATTAGAATGCAGGCCGGGTCCGGGTTCGGGTGCGGGTCCGGGTCAAACCGCAAGGGGGCGTCGGTGTCAAGGGGAAGTGGCCGCCGGGAGTGGCAAGCGGCGAGTGGGAGTGGCCGACAGGCGGTGGTCGAGGGGCGAAGGCGAAAGGACAAGACCGAAGCTGATTGCTTGCTGCAATGGCTGACAGGACATGGGGCTGGGCTATGCCCTATACCCGCACGGTTACTCGCATAAAAGGAATTCTCTTGCTTCACAAAATCCGATTATAAGAATTACTTTGCGTTTTTAAGCTGTGCACGAATAATACTATAATAACATTATGTGATTTAAGCAAGTGAAGCGCCATGGGAAACTGTATGCCACTGCTATTTAAAGCGGGAAAGGGCATACGCCTTCGGTGCCGACTCTTTCTACCCTGCCCCATATCTTGTGTTGTTCCGTTGTTTTGTCATTGCCACTGTCTGTTTATTGTGCCAACGCTGCAGAACTCGAAGGCATGTCCTTTGGCCACGGATAAAGTGCAGCGGCAGCGAACGGAGGCGAAAGCACAGGACGCAAGGATACAGGACGCGGCTGGGCAGGAGCTTAGCAAAACAACAGCTGTTGGCCTGCTGCAACCTCCGACCTACGACCTCCGACCCCTGGCCGCCGAACCCCTTTGGCTGTCTGGGCGAATTGCTTTCCCGAAGGCAGGCGGAATTTATTGCTTTAAGTCTTAATCAATGGCTACTGACACTTCTTGGTCTTCGGATCTGGCAGCTTCTGCATCATGTAGCCGGGCGGCGGTGGCTCGCTCTTCAGGGTGGTGAGTCCACCCTTGGGCTCACTGGCGCACCTTCCATTGCGCGGACCAGCGGGCGGCAGCTTGTCATTGCGGAGATCTGCCAGGATGCTGGCCAGACTCTTCTCGTCCAGGTCCTCGTACATGTCATCGTTGACCGCCAGAACGGGGGCATTCACACAGGCGCCCATGCAGTAATCCTCCTTGAGGGTGAACTGCATGTCCGGCGTGGTCTGGCCGTGCTCCAGATTCAGGGCTTTCTTGCACGCCTCAAAGATTTCATCGCCGCCACGCAGTTTGCAGGGCGTCGAGGTGCACACACTGACCACATATTTGCCGCGTGGCTTCATGAAGAACATGGTGTAGAACTGGGCCGCCTCGAAGGCCTCCATCGGATCTATCTTGATGGTCTCAGCCACGGCCTGCACGGCGCTGATCGATAGCCATCCCTGCTGCCGCTGGGCAATATCCAGGAGCGGCAGCAGTGCTCCCTTCCACTCCGCCTTCGGATACCAGGCGAGCAGGGCCTTCACCCTCCGTTGGTTGTCCTTCGAGAACTCGAACTTCAGCGTCTTGCGCATCTTAGTGGCATCCATCTGGGCTCCGGAGCGGAATACGGCTGCCAGGTGGATGGCGCGGATGGAGCGAGATAAGAGCAGCATATCCGTTGAATATATACGTACTTTTACTCTGTGTATATAATGTCGCCTAACGGCGAATATTAAAATTCCTATCGCATTGACATCCTTCTCTCGGAATACATAAAGCACATACGTTTTGAGTGGGAATATTGTGATTATATCGAGTATCAAATAAATGATATCGCTGTCAATTGAATGCATATTTAATGAAAACAAATATGTTTAATGTCGTACAACATCAAATTAATTATATTTAAATGGTAAACGAGGAGTGAAATGCAAATAGGTAAATAATCTAAGAGAAAAATACCATAAATAAATTAAATCAAACCTAATACCTGTACGGATACTAAATTTAATAATACAGACTTTTAAAATAGGAAAATGTCTATAGAAACTAGTTGGCAGTGGAAAGTACCTATCAAAATATGATTCTGTTCGATGTATTTCCTATTTGGTTAATTAAAACCCTTAAACTATTGCGTTCACCACACAAGCCGAGCTCGTAATATCCTTGCCACTTTTTTATGTAATATTTCTCTATTAACTATGCCGCAAGTCAGTGTGTTGTGGCCAAGTTGCAATCAAATTGAGTTGGCCAGCTGCTCGTCATGACAACGTGGAGGTGGTGAATCCGCAAAGCGAGGTCACCGCATGCCAATCAAGTCCTCCTGCCGCAAATTGTTCAAATTGCATGCCGCTCTTAATTGTCAATATCAGAGCTGCAGGTCCAATGCACCAGGTTCATGGGTGGGGTCAAGAGCACAGGTTCAACTCCATTTCCCCGAGCATTTCGCACTTCACTCCTGCACAATAGTAACGATACCAGAACTCGCTTATCAACACCTGTCCCTTGGCTCATTTATGGCGTTTTTATTACGCTTTAATAATGTGCATCTGCTTAGGCCCAGCGGATTAGATCGTAAAACGCAGACATTATGCCAGCTCAGTATGCGATCGAAATCCATAATAAACAATTAGGATAATGGCTATTCAAAGTGGCATCGCCTGCAGACAGCATAACGCTTATGTGGCAAGCTCATGTAATGGGAAACATCAAGGAACTGGAGCACATGTTGCCGCAAAAAAGAACGAAGCCCCTGTCAACACTCATGAAAATTAACAATTTTATAGCCACGCAGAAGGCTCAATCGACCTTGTTCTCGACCATCTTGAAAATAGCTCCGTTGAGTCAAATCCCTGCCAGAAACTGTCCAGAGATACAGCTGCTTCAGATCCAACCACATAAGGTCGTCGATGACTGGTCAAAAGGCCTGGTTATGTTTCCGGATTTTGGCGTCGGTATCTATCTGTTTAACGTGGACCTGAACGACGACCACGACTTTTCTGAACCACAATAGTGTCCGCGTTTATTCCGGAGGGACAAAGATCCACCGTGGAAAAGAAACGTGCCTCTCTAGACGTGGAGTACGAGATTCAGACGGGTCACTAGGCCAAACTAAGAAGTTTGGCCTTAGCTTCCCAGTCAATTAGGTGCTTATATATTGCCGATCAGTCCGAGATAATGTTATTGTTTTGATGGTTAGCTCTGCGTTTTACCATAGTTTCCACAAAGCACCATGTCACACCACAAACCACCTCAGCCCAATTAAATTTCGTAACTAGTTTATTATCGCCTAAAAGAAAGTATTCTAATAACTGCCAAGCCATACATTTAGCACCGGAGTCCATAATATATTACACACCATAATTGTTACATAGAATGATAGAAATACAACCAATTCTATATCAAATAGCTAATGGCAAATCACAAGCAAAATGAATTAAAGTAAAGGCTTAAAATAATACTGAATTCCAAGTGTCAACGAGCATTAAAATTGAAAGGTGTACAACAGCTTATTATGTTTTAAGCCTGGAGAATGTAGGCCGATTAGTATTTATGACTTCCAAAGTCCAAGAGTAGTTTTAAGAGGTCTCTGACCCACAGGAGTACCTATAAATCTGCATGCGAGTGTGCATGTAAGCCCGGCAAAAGTTTGGCAGTCCCCAAAAGCGGCAACAAAATGGGAACTGCAATTGGCCACCAAGTACTTTCCAAAGTCTTTTGCATGGCAGTTCACATAATTCGTGTTGTGATAGTCTCGGCCTCGTTTTTCCCCGGTTTTTGGTTCTTGGCTCTTGGTGGGCAGCAGTTTTCGGGTTTTGTGCCCAAAACATAATTAAGTGCTTTGCAAGTTGTTTCGGCTGTTTGGGGGAATTTGTCATAGCATGGATGGGGGGAAAGACCCGGAAAGCCCACAGAAGCAGAGCCCGTTGATAATGTACTAAGTAGTAATAAATTTTACTTTTATGCGAGAGCCACAAGCAAAGAAACTCTGGGGAGAAGCGAAAACAAACCAGAACAGAAACCAGAATTCAGAATTCAGAATTCAGAAATCAAGAGTCGGCGAAAAGTGAAATGGGCGCCCGTTCCCCTTTTGACCCGGTCGACAAGCTCAACAAGTTGGCCAAGTTGGCGAGTTCCCGACCATCCGAGCTGCCGACTTTCCGAGCTGATGAAGTGGCAGTGGCCATGAGCCGGACTTCAGTTGTAGTTGGCCAGCGTTGGAGTGGAAGCTGAAATTAAATCAAACATCAAACTCAATCTCAAAGCCAAGAAGGAAAAAAGGACTTCTCCGCCGGCAAAATGAATCGAAATGGGGCAGGGACGAAGTGCCAAAAGTGTTAGCAACTTTGCCATATTTCTGTTGATTTTGTTCGCACAAAACTGTGGCCAGGCACGCAGCCACGGGCGTGATGGATTAGCAAAGTTGGAGTTTAGCGGCCGGGCTACCCCTGTTTTTAATTTTGCAAAAATATACCAAACTTTGTGTGCGCAACTGCTGCCGGCCACGCCTCGCCGGGAGTTCAAAGGGCGTGTCCTGGTGCGGGGGAAGCCCATGTTCCATGTTTTCGATCAGCTGCAGCAGGACTTCGAGGCGAAATGGCGGCGCACAACTACTGTGAAGCCATTTAGTATCCTCCAGCACTTGGATTGGGAGCAGGAGCAGGAGGCTAACCGCCTTCAAACCCACTCAAACGCTAGTTTCGATATACTGGAAGAATTGTACAAGGATCAAAAGGCTTATGCACGAAAGACCACAACCATAAAGCCCTTTCATGTGCTGCAAACACTTGAAAAGGACCTGATCAAGGCGGATAAGCACACCACCACCGTTAAGCCTTTTCATATTCTGGGAACTCTTGTGGAGGATTTCATAAAAAAGGATCGGAAAGACGGTTATCTGGTGCAGAAACCCATAAAATCCACGGAACCCCTTGCTGAACACAAAGCCGAGCTAAAACCGCAATCCCGCGCAAAGGAAAGTCAAAAGCGGAGACGGAAACGCATTCGCCGCAGAAGAAAACGAATTCGCCGCCGCCGGAAACGGACCCGCCGACGTCGCCGCAAGAGGCGGAAGAAGAAGCGAAATAAGCGCAAGAAGAAGAAGTACAAGGGCGGTAAAAAGAAGAAGGGCAAGCGGAAGCGGAAGCGGAAGAAGCAGCAAAAGCCCGAGGATCACGAGCAGCACTCGATTTTCCAGCCGGCTCAATTGATCTTCGCCAATCCCACCAAGCAACCGTATTACCACCCCCATCCGCACGGATATCCATATCCTCCGGCTAACCAGATGCATGTTCAAACTCTACCCACAGCTTTATTGGCCGCCGTGACTACCAAGAAACCGCATACGGTGACCACCACCTACCGTCCCTTCAGCAAGATCAAGTATCTCCTGAGACACAACAGCATCTTCAAAAAGAAGAAGAAGGAGTACCTCAGCCACGTCGGCCAGGTGCTGTATCCATTTGTCAAGTTTGTGGCTTTCTTCACGGTCCTCAACCCCTTTACCTTGGGCGTTTTCCTGTTCACCCTGATCTCCCCCGCCGTCTTTGGATTCCTGGGCTTCGTAGCTCTGAGTGTGCTAGTCAAGCCCTTCCTGCATCTGGTGTTTGGGGTCAAACGAAACGTGAACGCCTTCGATCGCCGCAGGTGGCTGGCCCACAAGCAGGAGGAGAAGCTTAAGCTGGCCCTGAGGCCGGTGACCATTCACAAGCACTTTTACCAGCAGGGTCCGGTACGATCTGCTCCGCCCGTGAAGCTTCGTCCTGTGGGTCACTGGCGCAGAGAAGGAGATGATCCTGACACACAAATGCCTCGACCACAACCAATGGGAGCAGCTCCCAGGCGCCCACCACCCATGAATCGTTATAACCCTTTGCTACCTGAACATCACAAGGCTCTTAGCTACGATCACTCGGAACAGCCTGGCATCTTCCTGCGATAGCAACACGGAGATTTTTGGAACTGTAGATAAATCTTACTATTTATAGATAGAAATGTTAAGAAAAAGTAACTTAATTGACTTACTCTTATGTTATCAATGGGTGAACGATTCGTAGATAATTTAAATTCTTTACACAGCCCCAGTTTTTACGTAAGATTTCGATCATTAATAAATGCAGCGGTAAAAGATATACACTTAAAAGTCGAAATGTTTACAATAAATCTGTTTTCTAAAGTTTAAAAGTCCCAAATCATATCACTCCAAAAAAGGAAGCAGGGCAAGGGACCTCTCACTTTGGGAACTTTGGAGCCTCACATGCGTATGCCACTTAAATTAGCATGTTTTTGAAGTGAAATTAACAACAGCCAAGCCAAAACCCAATTAAAAAGTTCGTCAACTATTAAATCGGTTGGCAACGGTCCTATTCCCAAAACAAATTTAGTGCTTGTAGACCATCTTGTAGATGTCCAGCTCTCGCAACTTTGTCAATTTCTCGCCGTAACCCAGGCGGAGGAGTTCCTTCTCCTGCTGATCATCCACAGAAAGAACTTCGTGGAGTGGAAGACAGAGCTGCAGATCTGTGCGTTCAAAGAGCTTTCGTGCTCTCCAGCGGAACTGTTTCACTGCCTCGAAGCAATCCTTGTGATTTTGCAGGAAGTCATCTAGTCGTGGGTGGTGCTGGAGCAGCCGGTCCATGGACGCCAGCAGGACCATCACAAGAAAACGACTGTACCGCCTGCGAACGAAAGAGATGGGCATGTCCTCATTTCCCTCCTGATCCTTGCCAGCTCCTCTAGTATAGCTCCACAGCGTGAGAATCAGGATAATAGCCACCTTGAATCCACCGATATGCAACAAAACCGCCAGCGGAGTGATCTGCTTCTGCCCCAGCATTTCGCACCACCAGAGGAGGTCCCATTCATGGTAGATGTACCCGTAGTCCATGATACTCATCACAAGAAGGCAGAGCATGGCGATATTGCCCACCACTTGGTAATGTAGCCGAATCAGTAGAAGGACACTCCTCCAGCTCCTAGGAATCTTAGCCATTAAGATTAAATGAAAGGAAGTGTTCAGCCAAGTACAAACTTCGAAATTTTGAAACCTACTCGAAAAATATACAATACTTTTACCTCCAGCAAACTAGATAGATCTTAAAACAAGAAAAATGGTTCAGTCGAGTTCCCCGACTATCAGATACCCGTTACTCAGCTAGTGGAAGTGCAAACGAGAAATTTCAATATTTTCTGAATTTATAGATTTTATTGGAAGATGTTATTATTATTGGAATTTTTGGAATTATTGTTGGAATTTTAAATTTAAGTATTTAAACTATGGAATACATTTTAATTGTATTGAATTAGCCAGTTAAGCTGGCTAAAATTACAGTCGTAAGAACACGAATTTATATAATTTTGCTTTGCAAGGAACCAATTATTAGTTGACCATTCAAATTATATCGCAAGTTTTTGCACTCGCAGCACTTAATCAATTGGCATTGGGCTCCTGTTTTTTATCTGGTTGCTCCAGCCAACGCTATTGGCATTGGCACTTTCTTCACACAATACTCAGAGCCAATATCAACTACGCCTTTGCAATTTGCCAACATTTTGCAGGCCATCATAATGGAATCGCCTTGGGAACGTCATTTTGTTTGGCTCAAAACAAGTCGTTCGTCGGTAGAGCTGCACTCCATTGTGAGGACGCTGGAGAAGATTGGAAATATGTATTGGAGGGAGCTGGAGGGATGAAGTATCGGGGCGGGAAGGAGGGCAGAACCCGCTTTCAAATGCAGATAGAAAAGAGTATTAGATACAGTTGCAACCTAACAACTGTTATACTGTAGCATACAGCATGAAGCTTAAGACTTCGTATTTAAAAGAAAGATGGACTCTTAAGTTACATTTGCTTAATATTTAATAACTTTATAACAAGAAGGGTACTGAAATAATTCTGCGCAGTGCAATACTCGGAGTGCAAGGCAGCAAATAGAACAAGTAATAATAAATAAAATTGTAGCCAATTCATAAGGATTTTGCATTTTGTCGCTTCAATCAGGCAATTGATGGTCTCCGGGTGGAAGGGGTGCAGTGGGGTAGCTGTTTTCCAGGGATTGGTGGGTGCTTCAGGACCACAGGACCTGCGAACGACTGGCAACAACATTCATTCATATTTGTCAAGTGCCGATTGAAGCTGCCTCTGCACTCTGCTGATCTCCTTCAACACCGAGCCACCAGCCACCCATCTTGCAACACCCCCACAACCCCATTTTCATGCCACCATCCACTGGCAGCACAATGTGCGTATAAATAACGGATTTCCTGTTATAAAATATTTGTAACGACATTTTCCCGATTTATGTATCCACACATATCTACACAGACGGATTATGCATGCCCGGCATTAGTGCTCAAAATACTAGCAGTTTTCCTTCAAGACATGTTTTCAAGTTTACTGCGAAAAATCTACGGATAGTGTTCTTCTTCGCTTGAAAAAATTAATGCCTTAGAAGTCGTGCAGAAGGACATTAATACTAAATTATATAAAGATTACCTCACATAGTAGGTAAAAAAAAAAAGAGGAAGATTGAGTTTAAGTAGTTCAATGTGCCAAGCTTGCAACTTATCTCCTCCCGCACAATTATGTTTACTAAAGATTACTGGAATGTATTTATATTTCAAAGGCTTGCAATTACATCTACTTGTTTGAACAGCGCTGTATTCACTGGAATATGCTGCATTGTGCCATTGCCAGTAGATGAGTGGATGTAGTCCGCCTTCCAATCCCTGGAGATTCCTATATATAGTGCCACGATATCTCCGGCTGCCGCTCTCCCCTGCCAATTGCTGCCACTCAGTCATGGCTGACAGTTATGGCTATATGGATATCGATATGGATATGTGCCGGGTAACGTCTTCGGATTGCAGCTGTCAACGCAGCAGCAAATTCGCCCATTTCGCCCATCCTAAATGTGCTGCTTGCTACTTAGGAGTCGAGAGTGGAGAACCACTGGATTGATGATGCTCCGACTGGCAGTTGCAGTTGCAGTTGCCGTTGCAGTTGCAGCTACTGATACTGATGTACAGTGGGAGGTGCATAAATCACAGTCATGCACGTGTTAATATCCTTGAATGCGCTCAAAAGCTCCATTGTTGTCAGCGGATATCCAGCACACAAAGGTAAGAGGGACTGGATGTGGATGGGAAGTTATGCATCCTGTTTTCGGGGGCGGACAAATGGCCACGGGTCAGGCCACAAATGATTCCAGGTATCGCATACCTTCCAAATGATTGGCAACGCAATTATTCCAGCAATCCGAATGAGCTCATCGCATCGAATTTAGGAACGTAAAGTAGGAAAAGGCGCCCTGAATGATCTGTGAAATTGATGAATCAGTAGTTAATCAATCGAAATAAAGTTCACAGCTACTCACTTTCAGCACAGCAGTTAGACTAACTCGAAAATAATTGAGACCAGTGATGAAGAAGGGTCTCGAGTTCAGTTGGATGGCCAGGGTCACCAGTTTCATCAGCTTGACATTCTCGCCGGCGTTGTCCGACTGATGAATCACCTGCTCCCAGTCAGCGGTGTAGTACATCATACCCAGTTCATCTGTCTGCGAGTGAAAGTTAAAAGATGCAATGCACAATGTGGAGGGTACCCACTGTTTTCAGGAGAATGGAGCCGAGCATTCCCAGCGCAAGTAGCTCCATTAATTTCGCCAGGAACCACACAATGTACGCCACATTAGCCCAGGGATTCTGTGAGAAAAAGATTATTGGTCTGAAGTCCCTATTGAAACGTTCAAGTAAAATCTACTTCTTAGGAGTTAGTAGTTGTATAATCTATATAATCTATGTCGAGATGAATACCGTCTCGAAAACTACCAACCGTAAAAGCCTTGAAGAACAGGACGCAGAGCAGTCCAGCGCTAAAGGCGAACATGACGAATATTCTTAGGGTGAACTCCTCCTCCACCCGCTGTCCAAAGTCCCTCAGAGCGGCATTTCTCCGCAGGATGTGGGTCAAAATCAATCGGTAACCGATGGCCACGTCTAAAGAGCTACTTTTCCTCAGCAGCGTCTGTGCCGAGCGACGGAGATCCTGGCCAAGCTGGACGTAGCGGGCATTTAAATGCATCATCAGCTCGCCCATGACATTTAGCTCGCCAAAGAGCATGCTGGTGATGATGAAGCCCACCCAGAAGTTGAGCACCAGCAGTGGAATAAAGAAGTGCAACTGGGTGTTGTCGAAAGGGTAAACCTGCTTGTAAAGCATTTCCCGACGATGGTAAATGACATTCGTCACTGGAACCAGGAAGAAATTGAACAGGGTCAGCAGATACACGGACGAGTTGACCCGTGTGGCCAGCATTTGCCTTTGAATCCTGGCAAACAAGTGGGGTTCCAGCTGCTCACTGACGTAGATTTCCGCATAAAAGCGCTGCAGCAGGGCCCGGAAGCGATCCTTGTGCCAGGCCAACTGGAAGCAGCGTATCTGCAGCTCGACCAGGATCAGATATGTGGGCATGCCCGTCAGCAGGTTGTCCATGTCCTGCCGATTCGCTATCAGGTAATGAAAGTCCACCTCGTTGTGCTCGCAGAAGACCAGGAATCCGAGAAAAATAATCACCCTGTCCAGGAAAACGGTCCAGCGCCCCGACTCCGCCTCCAGGGGCCAGGCGACGTGATTCAGGACGCGGTACAAGGACACCGGCCACGGCATCGGAGCCAACTCTCCGCCGGGCAGACGGGGTCTGTAGCGATGGAGCGGCATGACTGGATGGAAGTCCCTCTGGATGGACGCCCATTTATATTCTAATTTTAATTGCCGCCGGCCTGATGAAATATTAAATTCATGGCCCAATCATAAATTATTCAGATTCATTTGCGTTTGTCAAAATAAACCCGAAATCGAAACCAAACCAAAATCCGTCACAAAACCAACCCCATTGCTGATTTGCTTTCGAATTCCAATCAACCGGCAAAGCTCGGAGTTAATTGACACGTGATTATCGAAGCTTCGGGAATGGGTGGCACTTTAAGTCACCCCTCCATTTGCTTAAAGCAACACTAATGATTTCTTAAAGCTCTCTTAATTAACCTAATATGCCATAAGTTCAAATGCACTTAATTGATTAAAAGTGCCGCTTTAAGCAAGCACTTAATTGAGGATTATAGCTAATAGTCTCAAGGGTGGCTCGACTTTAAACTCAAATCCACTCGCTTCATTGCATTTCCGTCTCGGCGGACAACCGCAAACAATCATTTTTATGATTATGCTGAAGTAACACTGACACAATTCCAATAAAACCGAAATTGCCCTGGCACACTGACTGACAGCTCGGCCTTTGTGCCCCGTTTCACCTGGAAGAAGGCACCACCAGCAACACAGGCTCCAGGACCTTCGATTCCCCTTCACGACAGCCTTCAAGTATGCACCTGGGAGCAGCTGCTCATGTGTGGGTATGCCCCGGATCCTGGCCAAATCAAGGGACGACCGAAAGGGCGTCGGAGCAGAGCAAATTCAATTCACTACTGTTGATTCTCCGCCCGTTGTTGTTCTTCTTGTTTGATAAAAGGATGAGAAGGGCTGAGGAAAGGCCAAACAACAGGGAAAAACCCAAATAATATTAATATGCAAATTGAGTTTTTTAGTTGAGTGATCTAAGCGGATAACCGAGGGCCAAGTCAAGGCGAACGCCAGTCTCGAGGGACCAGCACAGGATCCGGATGCGAACTAGGATGATATGAGGATGGGGACAAGGATGCGGAGTCTCTCTTTGGGGCATTTTGTTTTTTGCTTTATTGATTGCCGGCGGCACACGGGACACACGTACATATATATCTGGAGCACGGCGGTTTAAATGCGAGTTTCGAATCAATTGAAATCATATTTTATTAAACGTTTACGGGGCCATTTCCCACAAACGCCGCAGGAGTACGGAACTGGGAAAATATTTACAAGAAGTCACAGTCTGTGACCCACACCGATGAGCAGGCCGCCGGCAGCGACGAACGCTTCAAATATAAACACATAAAAAACATTATACGTACTGGTAGGTACACATAAATCCGTATCCGTATCCGTATCCGTATATGTATACGTATCCGTGTCT